TTCCTGCCCCGAACTGGGCAGGAATCGGGATTTTTATCCCCAGCTCCTGACCGGAGGGCAGCTGGTGGCGGTGCCACGGCAGCAGGCCGGGCCGCGCACCGTGGTGTGAGGCAGCAGCAGGGGTAGGCACAGCACTGTGGCTAGACATCAGACGGGTTTAGCAGTAGGGTAGGGTCGATGCTGCTTTGCTGTGTGGGAAGCACGGCTGTGGTCGCTGTAGGTGATGCTGGGGCGTACACTCCATAGGCCAAGTCTCCGGTGCGGCTTCTTCACAGCACAAGTGCTCTTGATGCAAGGAACGGTAGAAATAGGTTTGAGATTCACCCTTTAAAGTATATACTTAGCTTTGCAGTTTCTTAAGAGGGAGGCTGTTGTCGCATGTGTAGGAGATGTACAAACAGATTGATGCAGTTACCCAATTAACATTTCTGGCAGTCTTCGACAGCATAAAGAGATGTCAAGTGTAGCTGATGTACGTATCAGGTGAATGGTTACTTCATGTCTTTGAAATGGAAAAATGCACAGAGGATCCCCGTGAAACGGGAATGCCAGTCCTGTGCCCAGGCTTCATTAGGGGCAAATGGCACATCTGTGTCCTCAGGGTTGAACATCAGTTGTCAGTGTGCCTCAAAGTAGCAATAAATATGTAGTGCTAGCTATGCTAAATCTGAAACAAGGACAGGAGCTTCAAAAGTACCAAACAATCAAAAATAGACTATATATTAAGGTGAGACTTGTTCGTGAAACGAGTATCTCTTGATCTGCAAGTTTTTTGTTGCAGATCCATAAAAACCCATGTTCAGACCTTAAATAGGTGGGTTTTAGAGCCTCTGCTATTGCAATTAGCTTCTTGGATAGTCTTAGAATCCCATGTGAGTCCACAGATGATGGATTAAAATATGCAGTGAGTCATATTAAATTGGTGCCAATTGAAATGCACAGGTTGTAAATCACTGCAGAATTTGATTCAGTAAATAGCAATCATAAATGTAATACTTTGCAATTCTAAGCACTGCATCTATCTTAGGTTAGCTCCTTTCTTTTTTCTGAGGAACAGAAAACACTTCATGAAATACTAATTTACTGGTCTTAACGGGAAGCCTGAAAAGTGACACTGCATTGGTGTCCTGGCTAACCTAAGTTACAGAGGGGATGGATGGGTGGCTTGTGATTGTGCATGAAAGCTGTGGTAGAGCCAGGAACATAATCCAAGTCTCCTGACTCCCGGATTTGAACTTTAAAACCAGATCATGTTTCCTTTGTGCTTTCAGTCTGTATACTGACCTTTAGGAATCGTATTTACCTACAAGTTCCCAGAAGAGATCTACTTTCCCTTGACATGCTTTCCTGGTATCAATTACGCTTTTCTTCTGATGAGTATTTTGAGCATATAGAATACACAGAGCAAATGAAAACGGTATTTCCTGTGGAGGCGCTGGGGGCCGGGTCTGCTCCCCGTAGACCACATTAATAGGTAATAGGAAGTGGTGGATGTGGGTCCACCACTTAATGCTAGAGAAAGACTCTTTCTGTAAATACTGATACAGATCCTTTCTTCAGACCTCGGTGCAGAGGAGAGAGCGATTGTGCCCACAGTGCTGACGATGGAGAGGGATCTGCGCTAGGTACAGTGGGAGGGTGCTGCTCTGAGATTCTCCTTTACATCAGACTATTTCAGTCCCTACACCTTCCAAGAAGCAAAGGACTGTTCCCCTCTTCTCATGTCTCTGTAACATTAAAGAGGCAACAGATAAAGAAGAGGAAGGATGTCTGAAACTTTAGAAAACGCCAAGATAAAAAGAAAAAAAGATGGTGAGATTGTTTTGCTCTGTTGTGGTGGAAAGCCATGAAGTCTGATTGTTCTGACTCTCGGCGAAGGAGACCTCCATGACCAGACATCATCAGAACTGGACTGGCTGAGCTCCAGCTTGCTGGCCTGTTTGAAAGCTCAACTGATTGAAGGCAGGAGCAAAATCATACATCAGAGCCCAGTTCTATGGGAATTCCCAACCTGGGGAAAGCTTGGGGGATCCTGTGCCGTCTTTAAAGTTGTATGTTTTCATGATCCTTTCTTCCAGCGGTTTTGTGCTCTTTGTATGTGCAGCCCAAAGTAGCCATACTGCTACCCCAGGCTGCCCGCCTGCTGCTTGCTATTTACAGTCTGTAGTGGTGTCTGAGTTTTCAAACTTACTGCTTAAAAAAAAATAAGGTTTAGCGCAGTGTCTTGACCTCTGCATCACAACAGAATCTTCACAGACATAAAAGAGATGATAGCTTTCAGTGCAGCCTTGGGTGAATATTACAGGAAGCAGCTGAGAGATTTGTTTGACACTTAACCTGTCTTAAGTTATCTTAGTTGGGGTGATGTGGTATCTGGATCAAGTCTTAGAGAACTGAAGGCCAGCGTTCATATATATATATATGTTGTATAATTCTGGGGCATTTTCCAAATTCCCAAGTTAGTTTGCATGGAGAGTGATACAGGTTTTCAAGCACAGTTTCCTAATGACATGAGAGTTATTGTAACAGCTCAGCCCTATAGTTCCATCCAGTTCTCTGGACAGGGCTTATGTTTTATATTGCTTGGGAAAGGCTTATGGTAGCTGCTTATTGAAAAGGTATCGTGAAGAGGCAACGTGTGGAAGAAAGAGAGTGGAGCCTGCAATAAACTATCCAGAGCTCTTCAGATCTGCAGGCACGGCTTCATTACTCCCTCCTGACTTTCTCCTCCCTTTATAGCTACTGCCGTGTGGATGACTGCCTTGCAAAACTGTGAGAGAGCTCAACCATAGAGGCCAGCAAATCAGAGTGGAACGAAACCTGAGCAAATCAAAATCATGCTCCACGGGCAAAGAGAGATCACCTTATATGGGAACATCATGGGCAAGAAGATGAATACGTCCGGCTGAGCTGCTGAGGTCAGATCCTAAACAGATGGAAGACGTTAATGTGAAAACAAGAGCATTTAGGAAGAGAAGACAAGACTTCTGCTTCGCTTATGCAATCTGAGTCCTCCTGTTTGTCTCTTTTATTATAAATATTGTGTTATGTGTATGTACACATAGGTCTGACTGCATTATATTAAAAATCAATGTCTTTGAGGCTATTCTAGCACTTAAATGCATCCCAGGTCTGTTTCTGGTTCTTCCCACTTGCAGCTCTTTCAATTGTTATTATGTAGCAGGATTTTGCTTGCTGAAGTGTCACTAATACCAACCATAGCAGTATGGATTGTGGTCAGCAAAAGCCTAAGGAGTGATCACTGATGTCTCAAAAAACTAAGCCTGTTTGTGGAGAATATAACTTGTTCCTGTGTGCTAAAGCATTTAAGACAATACCGACAGCCAAGAAGCCTGTCTGTTTCTGAATGTTTTGTCATGACTACAGCCATAGGTAGCATCCTAGG